TGTCTAGCTAGGTCTCTTTGCTGTTGACACCTTTATGTATGCGACAGACCGCAAAACGGGTTACATACGTAGAAAGCTGCACCGAGGTCTCAGTTCTATTGCGACGTGGTGTAATGTTTAGACCATAAAAATCAGTGAATGTAGAACTCATATCATTTACTTTTCTCATAGACTTAAACCCCTGAGGCTCATTTTACATTTAATTGACGGAATATCCCTTCATCAATCACGTAAAATATCTCGGTGTAATGTTCTATAGGAGGATACCATGGAAACCACACATAGAAATGATTGAAGTCAAGGCCTTCAGAATATTTGTTAGACTCTACTCCTTATTCAAAAGTGAGAGTATAAATGTCTGTATTAACCTAACCCTCCATAAGGCACTGATCAGATCAGTAATGATTTGTGCTTGCCCCGCCTGGGAATTTACGGCAGACACTTAACTCTTAAATTTGCAGCTGCTGCAAAACTAGGTTCTCCACACCATTGGAAAGTTTTCAAGGTGCATATCGGTCCGCAAGTTGAACACGGCTTTCAACCTTTCGTATGTATACGCTTATATAAAATAAATACCATACCAAATCATGAGAATGAACATGTTCGCGGTATAGGTCAAGGGAAGCCAGACATATAAAGTATAAGAGGATTAAAGTTAGCGGTGGTTAGGCTTACGACCGTTCACGTGACTGAGCTGCCGTTGTAGACATGATCTGTTTACAAAGCGTGGAATGACAGATGACTTGCATATATTGGAAAGGGAAGAATTTTCAATAACATTCTACTTATACGATATGTATTTTTGACAAAGGCCAAGCAAGAGAAAAGCGCCAGTCATAAAATAAGTCTGCCTCTGCGTCTGAGTCTGATGCTGTGAATGGACATTTGGAGCAAAGATTTGGGTGTGAGGTATTCGCTAACAGCCAACGACGTGAGCAGAAGAGGACATTGTTGCTGTCCGTTACTAGGCAACGACTATTGAAGACGAACTGAGAAGAATCAGTGTGTGCTGTACTGAATTGGAAAGCGTGCAGATAGCGAAAGCGCTATAATTATTTATAGTTATGGTTTATACGCGTTCAGTAAATCCAATTACCAACTACATCCCCGCGTCTAATTACTAGCACGTCAAAGTATACTTGTACAGCAATTCGCTGATTCCTGTATCATGAAACAGTTTTCATCAAATATGCAAGTTAAAGTAACATCAGAGAATAGGATAATTTTAAATATACTGGAAACTATATGAAGGCAGCGCCATAGCTCAAGCGGTTAGTCGCTGGCTTCCCAACGCGGCGGCCCGGGTTCGATCCAGGGTCTGGTCAAGTGGGATTTGTGGTGGACAATGTGGCGCTGGGGCGGATTTTCTCCGAATATTTCGGTTTCCCATGCCAATCTTCATTCCACCAAATTCTCCATCATCATAACCACCCGGGGCAGGCTACAATAGGCCAATCAGTGGTCGCCATGGCGAGTGGTCCCAGTTGGACTCCACCCCCACTAAGGGAACTTTTAAAATACATGAAAAGATAGCTGTAGCCTCTTTTAAAACAATGATTAAGTTATCCAGGCCACAAAGATATAAGTAAGTATAGATGGCGTTCGGGTTGAAATTCGAAACAGCACCACTGGAGCCTCCACGGATATACGTATAGTTGCGATCAAGCCATACATGTTGCAAACTATGTTGTCCGTGTGACAGAGTGTAGACCGTGTAGACTCAAAGAGGCTTCACCAGACTTCGCTGTGCGACTGAGCCGAAATACGTCTGAAACAGCTTAGACCGGCTTGGACATCTTGCCAGGCTACAGACTAGAGAGGGCCTCTACAGGCATAGCTTTGAGACCAAGAGGATCAAGTCTAAAATGATGTAGATGTATGTCTGATAAAGTTCATTACGTAAGTGGAGAAGTGCACACTGACGTCATTAAACGTGTGTCTCATTACATAACATATACAGTTCCTTCAGGCTGGTTTCGAGTGTTGAAGCATGAAACAGTGCGGTTGGATGTAGAAGGCAGTTAAGTTTTTTGATCTGTAAGTCGAATCAATTAAAATTTATATAATTACATATTACAACATATTTTTTCCCTTGGCACTACAGCCCCAGTGGGCCTAGGCCTACCTCCATGAAACTCTCCGTTTCACTTCGGTTTACTAGATCTTACACATTCGGTAGGACTCCTTGGGCGGGTGATCAGCTTGTCGCAAGGCCTCTACCTGTAGACAAACACAGAAAAACGCACACAAACATCCATGCCCTGAGTGGGATTCGAACCCACGATCCCGGCTTCCGAGTGAGCGAAGACCGATCGGCTACCGTGACCGGCATTACAACATTATCTGTAATTATTAACTGTTTGCGTATTAATGCAGTCCATATTTTTCAATATGATCTGATAGCTAATATCCAGCTATAAATTATAATTTAATTATAAATTAATATTATTGTTAAATTATCATTTTAATTGTTAGCTGTTTCAAAATTACTTATCAAATTATATTGTTTATATCACTGAACCTTATTTACAAGAGCAATCAATCAAACTCTGTCTACCAGGGACAAGTACACAGTTCTCAGGGTAGAGCAGATATCCTATTTGTATACAAAGGCATGTCAGTTCCTACTATCATTTCTACGGTAACAGATCAATAAGGGTGCAGATAGTGGGATAATGTAAACATGTTTCGTGTTACACTCCCACCGGAGGAAGGGTTGTTTATTTTCCTGTTTTTCTTATTGCTACTGTGTTATAACTATTAAAAGCTGTAAAAAGCCTGACGAAGAATTTGAAAGCAGTTTGAAAGCAATTAGACCGTAACTACGACAAATTTAAAGGCAATATTTACATTTACATAAACGAGCAGTATGATTCAAACAAGTGTAACTAGTTTAATAGAAGTAACTGAAAGTTTGCCTTTACGTGTTCTGGTCACTATTGGCCAACACGAGAAGGCATAGCCAACATTACAACGGAATTACTTTTCATGTGTTGACTGAATATACTTTGCCACTATAATGTCGTAAAAGGATTTATATTTACATTAAAATTTCACTTCATAAGTAAGGATCTGTGGTCATGTCAAGGCACAAAGCGGTCATGTTAGAAGCACTGGAGTCAGAAGTTGTACCGAACTGCACCAACACGATTTCATAAGTCACAATCGTTCCAGCCAACTGTGAAAAAAAAAAAAGTTAAGTGAAGAAGCCATGAGGGGTATACTCGTATAAATTGTAAGATTTGAGGTTTTCACGGCGGTGACTCTGAAGACTGCCGTCATCTGAGATGTGGCGCAGTGTGGATCTTGTATGAACAGATGTTTCGGAGGAATGTGTAGTCTCCGTCTTCAGAGTGCAAACAACCATGATGTTTCTACCTTGAAAATGGAGGCGATACTTTTCGCCGAAACATCTGTTCATGCAAGATCCACACTGCGCCACATCTCAGATGACGGCATTCTTCGTCTGTATATAAATTACTTATTACTTTCTAAGAAAATCTAATTTCGACTGAACTTTCCCCTTCTGGAATTTCACATTCATCTTAGAAGGGCTGAGCTCTGCAATTAGTTCCTTATGCCACTATGAAGCAAATTGGGTGCTCAGAGTCACTGCGTTTGGGCGGATCTCCATTTTAAACTTTTCAGCCAGAAACATGTTGCTTCGAGAGATTTGGTTTAACATTTTTGTAAATATGAGATAGGGAAATAAATCCTGTTCTTTTTGCTGAAAGTTTTCTTAAAAAGTACTGTGTCATGTAGCTCAAAGAACATACCGTCAAGAATAGATTGTTATATCATTCTTACTGAACATGATACCTGAAGATGTATGATTCAATATTCATAGAAGGATTTGAAATATAAATTCTCACATAGCAGTTGTGTTTGTTAATGGTATCATTACTCATTTGTTTCTCATCACAAACAGAAAAAACATACCTTCAGTCTCACTAACACTTTCAGGCAGTTATCTCGAAAACTACGTATGAATGGAGAATGGAAACAAATTCCCGAGTAAGTTGTACTCGGTATGGAAAGCAAGGGAAAGCTCAAAATTTGTCTTAAATACTTCAGTTATTAAAATCCCAACATTTCTATGGCCGCTTTATAGCTAGACAATACCACTCACACGCTCAATATTTCTTTATGATCGAAACTTCACATTTTACTATCTTCCTTCCTGACATCGCGAAGTACGTGTAACGGTGACACGTTCAGAAACCTCAAGATCACAAAGATCCAGACGATATGATCTCTGAGTTGCAATGAGACAGTATTTTTCCTTCAAGAAAAGAAAAGTGTATTTTAAAGTCCTTGAATTGTTAACATGTTCGTCATAAACATTTTTAATCTTAATTATTTATTTCAAAAAACTATAAATTTATTTTCTTTGTTTCTCAGAACATAAACATTATGAATTCTTTACATGTCCGTCAGTAAACCAGTATTATGTACCACATTAATATCGCTAGAATATTCTGATAGGAACAATGTAAGTTACTTACCGTGAGCAGGACAGTTCTTGTCACGGGAAAGAAATTGAGCCCAGTAAGAGATATATTATCAGTAGAAACCTGAACCAGGAACCTGTGAACCTGCAAAGAAGGCACAATTGTTGTGCATACAGACAAAAAGACACAGACTGAGAACACATAACCGTTATGTTACATATTCTGGAGTTAGCTGTAGTTGAGTAAGTTTCATATTACATATTGCAATTACATTGACACGTTTTAAAATTTCTCTAATTTCGCGCTTAGATGTATTAGTCGGGACCAAGTATAACCCCAAAGACCACTGAATACTATTATTAACATTTGTATCCTGTTGCGTAAGTACAACCAGTAATACAAGTTCCACCGTCAACGTAACTATACTTTATTAACTTATGTTCCACTACATATTTCGACCCTTACAGGGTCATCCTCAGGTGTTGTACTTTACAAATTTTCATTATTATGGTAGGTTGAGGCACTATGCTACAAGCAGGAAGGTCGCGGGTTCAAGTCCCGATGAGGTCATTGGGTTTTTTCAATTGACCTAATTCTTCCGGCCTCACTGTGGCCCTGGGGTCGACTCAGCCTCTAACAGAAGTGACTACCACGAATTAATTAAATAATGTTCCTGGGGAGTAAAGCGCATAAGGCTGAGAAACTTACCGGCATCTTTGAGCCGATTGTCTAGATAATGTGGGAGCCTCAACGTCTCACAACCCTATGGACCTTCATGGCCTGTTACAGGGATAGCTTTACTTTATTTAGTTCACATTATTGAATTGTAAAGCGTGTATACATACATAAGCTTAAATGACTAATTTCTATGTACACTTATATTCAGACATCTATGTAGATATCGTAGATTTTGATTTAAACGTAAGGTATATATAGAACTGAAAGTTAAAGATTGAAAGTTGATTTTAAATTAATTTAAAAGTGTCGTATTCTGTATTCAACTTAGTGTCTTTTGCTGTACTAGGCCACGCATCTTTTCGTCTGATTCTTCTATTATTGGTTAGATTCGTTTGTGTTAATTGTTTCTTAAGCACGAATTTATCTTTTTTGTTATTTCCTGGATGTCGATCTATAATAATTTATGTGTGTCAGTGAATTAGTATCGTAATTAAACTTACAATTAGTTTTCTAATGACTACTTTGTTAATATTATTTCTGTAATTACTTACTGTTACTGTTGTTGTTTTAATCTTCAACTTTTAGTTCCATATATATCTTGTATTTAAATCAACATCTGTATGCTAGAATATAAATGTACGTAGAAAGCAATCATTTTAAGCCTATGTATGTAAATATGTATACATGCTTTACAATTTAACAATGAAAATGTGTAAATCAGAACACCTGTGGATGACTTTGTAAGGGTCGAAACATGTAATGGAACATAAGTTAATAAATTATAGTGGCGTTTACGGTGAAATTTGTGTCATTACTACTGAATATCACTGCGATATCGGGCAGTTTGCACTGTCCAACATATTTCCGTGTCGTGAATCAGTCATTGTAACAAGCTTTTAGCTAAATTAGATTATCTTCCTTTTTACCTACTTGCATCGACTCGGAAATTCTTTGTACATAAATTAAAATTGCTTTATGCTAGCAGTTGCTTTATCATACACTCTGTGGCCACGCAGGCCTGCTTGAACCTTTCATACAGGACGGGAAGCTGACAACTCAGGCGCGCAAATCAGTTTATTTCCAAAATAGGAAAGCAGATGCATTACTATTCTGTACGCTAAATTTCTCGACTACAAGATTTAGAATTTTATTTTATGAAAAATGACAACTTTTTATAGTATGGAAGGCGAAAAATATAATATTTATCTGTAGAAATAACGTAGGAAAACCAAGGAAAAATGAACCGAGACAGCGTGTAATTATTGCAATGCAACGTAATTTATTCGATAAAAATATGCACTCATTTTAGTGTATAATAAAGGAATTCGGTAAGTGGAGTTCAGTATAGAATTGAAAATGCAGCCGTGATCAATTGTACGTATAATGCAAATCAGACTACTTTTTTCGGATTAGATTAATCGTATGGGTATAGAGTAGGTTCAGCTATTTCTAAGATTATATTTGGGTATTTTGTTTACTTGTACTTCATTCTTGTCACAAGTTCGTTAAGAGTTTATTTAATTTTACATTTTCTCACTCCGTGTCCCAGAAACCTTAGACGCAGCAGCCAAATGGTCAGTTCACATTTACTTGTTTGCGAATGTCAGTGTCTGGTGTTACCAGCACTAGTCACTAACCATCACAACGGCGGATTCAGCAGGCATATCAGGCAGCAGTTTTTCTTAAAACCGCTGGTGTAGCCCGCTGCACCCTTCACTTTGTGGGAATCCCCAGTTCACAGTGCGCACGGTAGACGGCACGTGGCGGAATGGTATTTCCCAGCTGGTTATCGGCGCATTTTATATTCAGTATCTTCAGCCAAGATGTGGGAATACATCAGACTGGTATTTCTCCAGGTCTCGTCAGATAATACGTTGTGGTACCTTGGCAAGTTCAGTTCTAGTTATTATACCTAGATATTGGCAATGGAACATCATTGTCACGTCTCTCAGCCAATAATTTCCTTGTGTATTTGTACTTTTGTACCTGAAACTAAGGGAGTCTAGGATCGGCGAAGTCTTGTGCCCACAGAATGGTCCTTCGCCAGTAAGTGATGCCAGAGCTTTATGTTGCTCCGATATATTATTTCAAGCGTAATATTATTATGTGCTATATCTGTTTATGATAATAGTAGCAGCGCTGCTTAAGGCATGAACTGTCTTCTCTCGCTCGAACACTGGGGTCGTAGGGTCGAATCCTACTCAAAGGCATGGATGTTTGTGTGTGTTTATTCTGTGTTTGTAATGTTCCGGGGGTAGTTATGGGCTCATCCCCCGTCTAAGGTGTCTTACCGTCTATGTAAAACAAGGTTACGGGACTGAAGAAGAGGCCGAGACCCAACAAAAGGCTGTAGAGCCATTAGTCAATGAATGAATTAATGAATGAATATGTTTATAGCGCGTCCTGATGAAAGTGTGAACTGGAAATTATTGGCACGGTTTGAGCCATCTCATGGTGTCTTCCTGGGGTTCATATTTAAATTCTTTTAATTTCGTACCGTGATGAGGGACTGGATCCACTTGTTATTATTCGGCCTATTGTACCAGCCCTTCATGATGACAATAATGATGATGATGGCGATGATGATGATGATGACGACGATGACAACTACGTTATACGCGTGTATAGCAGTAAATGGAATGAAAATTGGCAGAGAGTACGTGGAGGAAACCCGCCTGAGTACCACATTGTCCACCACAAATTCCACATGATGTGACCTGACCTAGAACTCAGGCCGCAGCTCTATGAAGAGTTTTCTGTTCTTGTTACTAGGATCCCAAGTGGTTCTCATGTCGGTCCTCTTCACCGCCACCACAGCGACACCGTCAGCTGCACGGCTTGTGTTAGGGTCTGCAAGAACCTTCCATTCTCCTCTTCTTGCTCGAAATAATCTCTCAAACTCAGAGCACTTCTGTGCTCTGCGAAGGAACGACCTGAAGATTATTTCCGCCACTGTGCCCAGTGTAAGCACGAGACTGCATACTTTGGAGTTCGGAGCTGAAATTGAGATCTGAAAACAGCAGTGTATTCTCTCGCCCGAACTGGGGCTTGTTACTTCACACGTGGGCAGGGCTAGAGATCTGTAGACCGCAGCAAGAATGGAAGGATTCCAGCGGCTGTCTGAACAGGTTGAGAACGCACGTACAGTTTTAGTAGATCATCCCTCTGATTGACTGAAGTGAAACTGTCTTACCTCTACTTGATAGTTGTGTGCGGGTACAGCATAGAGCACGTCCTTAGCAGCTCGGCTTTCGTCGTAAATGCTGGCCGCGGAGAGAGCCATTGCCATGGTCCTTAGTAACAGGTAGCCGAAGGACAAGTAGAAGTAAGTCGCTTGTATTGTGCTAACGGAATTGCTGAAATAGAAACATTCATTTCTTTACTGGATATACTGGTTCATGGGGCTGCTCTACGCTTTCTAAATGAAGTTGGAACTTCTACGTAAAAAATATATATTGAAAAAATATATTTGAAAAAGGACTTCAACTTTCCACCCAGTTCTAATTATCTGGGACACTGGCAACTGCTGTCCCTATTGCAGTTCTGGACAAGATGGTGTTGAGTCCCTCTTTCGTTCTTATGGTGTACCCGAAATTTTAGGGCTTAAAATAATGAGTTTGGTGTTCGAGCACCGCAGCTGTTTTCCAGTGAAAAGTATTATAATCAAAATATAATTATTAAGCAAACATCGGAAGTTTCTCAAAGCAGGGCCGAAGTCATTTCTTTCTTCTATCTCGTTTTGCACATAAAGAACTTCCGTTTGGCTACATTGTACAGTATTTCTTAAAAACCACCGTTTAGAGCAGTGCTTCTCAACCGCCGGGCCGCGGCCCAGTAGTGGGCCCTGGCATCAATTATACTGGGCCGCGAGAGGCTCTTCTGGAATTTGTCATTTTCATTTTCTAAGCATTTTCATGAATAGATATTTTATAGTTACCTTAATGCATGAACTTTAACAAAACTTGAAAGGTATTTACGAGTAAATTTGTTGGGATTGGGCCCTCGTCTTATAAAGAAAGAACTTACTGTGCCGCGGTCTCACAAACGTTGAGAACCACTGCCTTAAGGTCAATAGGTGAGAGGATGCGGTTAGTTTGTTAAATTTACATACTTTAGACTTTTAAAATACGTTTTATTTACAAAAATAATCAATAAAGATTTAAATTCATTGAGCTCACAGAAATATTATTGATAGTTATTCAAATACTTGTATAAAATTATTTAAAATCTCATAACTAAATGGCTTGAGATTATTGTAAAGAATTGAAATAGGTTTACTACTTATGTTGGCCGACAAGTAAATAAATCAACATTTATCCTGTGAAGTAAGGAAAGACTGTGTAAGAATAGTGAAACGTACGGAAGAATAATATTTCAGCTGGCGATAACTGTAAGATCCAAAAGGATATTTGAGAATGTGTGGTAAATTCCATAATAAAACATTACGGAAGAAGACTGACTGCAAAAGCTGTTGAAGTAAAGGGGTAGAAAGACCACAGTATCCGGCACAGTAAATGGTCTACTCACTTCATGCTGTTGAGAAGTTGCTGGCAAATGTAGAAGAGGTTTGTGGCGAAACAGAGTAGGACGATACTGGAGACACGCGAGTCGACGCATGACGTCAGGTGCGACAAATCATTATAGTCCTCGCGTACTGATCTCCAGAATCCTTCTGGCATCATCTTGAATCATAACAACTGCAGTTCTCATGCCAAAATTAATCATAAATAATAACAATAATTCAATTCGTGTTTATTTACGTACAAACTTAACAGCACAAAGGCCTCCTCTTAATATTTTCTCCCTTCTCTCCTCTTTGTTCTTATTTTCCTATTCTACTGCCTCCTAGCCTAGTTCTCCTCTCCTTTTCACTCTTCTTCTCTGTAACTTTATATCCTTCCTTTTCTCCTACTTTCTGTGCTGCCCCTAAATTTTGCATTCATGGTTTGAAACGCTGGCCTTAAGCCTTGGCCTGCTTCAGATGACCTATCAATACTTGATCAGGTGAATTGTTACTTGCCTTTCCCTTCACCTTCTTCAGGCAGGAGTTTAGTAGTTTGAACCTGCTCGCCAGTGCAATGCTGATCAGCATTACAAACACATCGGCGTAGCTCCAGTAGAAGGATGCAATTATACTGACAACCGCTGTGAACACAGCCATGCCACTCGAGTACCCGACCACTTCGAACACATGTCTGTGTGTCACCATTATGTAGCGTCGCACCAAGTCGAAACCTCCAGTTGAGCATTGCGAAGCGATGTACATTCTGTTGGCATTCGATAGCAGGTACTCAACTGAAAATTAAAAATTAAGTAATTTATACAACTTTCAACACTGTGCATACAAAACCAGTCATACTGAACTCCTGCCCCCAGACAAGTTATGATCACTGCAATATGCTGTCACTCTATGAATATTGATTTGTACATAGACCTTCGTAGTATGGATTTCGTGAAAATGCTTTGGCTGCTTTATATTAGGAAGCAATTTGAAATTCGTAACAGCACTTAAATTATATGATATTGTAGTATGTAAACCCGTTGCTAAGTAATGACCCTGTAAATACTACCATTGACAGGCAACAGATTCTTAACATGCTCCATTTTACGAACTGAGAGGCGGTGTTCTCTACGTGATTCGTGTTAAAGCTCCGTGATGCAACAGTAAGAAACTGTTGGAATCAGTGTCTTCTATGTGGTCCGCTCCGAGGCTATATCACTAGAACGACTAAGTCCAGTTCAGTTAGTGCAGTGCAGTGGAGCGTGTGAATGAGTTAGAGGACTGTTGCGGTCCATTCCTTGTAAGCAGTTAATGTTAGAAGCTGGTAGCTGAGGCACGGGGATATATCGGAAACGCGGAGTAAAGGGAAAGTCCGTCTTTGGAAGCCATCCTGGAATTCCACATTCACGTGTGTGACGTAACCCTTGTCGACTCTGAAGGACCTCCTATGCTGCGAAGGTGGTTTAGTATCAAGAGAAAGCAGGATATAGATGATTACGTAATATGATTTATCACAATTCGTACTCATCAACCAATATTGTGTACAGAATCAAACGAAGAAAGGTAGGATGGATGGGACAGAAAAGCAACATACAGAAAAAAGAAACACGCCAAATGTAGGCGGAAAGCTTGGAAGGGAGACAGCTACTTGAGAGACCTAAGTGTTAATGGGAGGAAGATACCTAAATACTCGTAAATCATAAAGACACAGACCTACGGTGTGAAGGCGTAGGACAGGTAGCTTGATGAACATCAGCTTCCAAAGCAAAGTCGTGCTCCATTGAGTTGATTTATGCATTGACAAGGTAAAGTAAAGCTGTCCCTGTGCTTAAATAAGCACTACGTCATGAAGACGTATGGGGGACTGAATGTATAGACCCAAGTTTTCTTGACCTCGACAATAGTTAGAGGTGAGTGGCCCTCTTCACGGACTAGCCGCTTTTACCCTCAGGGAAAGAGCTAACAGTACCTATTAAATAAGAAGTTGGGTTGACCCCAGAGCCGGTCTGGTCGAGATAGAGAAGTGAAAATTCTTAACCCTCCTGGGATTCGAATTCCGAACCCGTCGATCGTTCAGCCCGTATCCCGTCACTATACCGACTACGCTATTCCGGCCTTTTTTTGTGTATGAGTGTGTATGCAAATAGTATGAAACAGATTTGGAATGTATAGCTTTCAGAAACGTAAACGATTTTAGGGACCATAATCTCTCAGCCGGTAAAGGAACTGGCCGTCAACTTGGGGAACCCCAAGTATCACTACACCGTTCAGTGTTTACATATTCTGCAGGGTCTCTCGCAGCAGACACGTGCTGTGCGTAAACATGTTTTTAGTGCCACATCCAAAGGTCATTCATCCGGCCTAGTTCGTGTCGCATTCTAACTACTAGCTACTAGGCCACATTTTTCGATAGGAAAATATGTTCAGTATGAAGCTATTCTTACGCTACCGTGTATAAATATGATTGAGATATAGGACTTCGTAATTGGGCATTTGGCCTTGAAAATATATAGAGTAATAGAGGTATAGCTCTGTGCATTCTTAACTTCGGTAATTACATTGATACGAAATTCTGGATCCGGCCGCTTTAACACCATAAATGTGCCGGTTACCCAATAAGATGTAAGATTCTTAGGTTAAATATTTTCCACCAAAGAGAATATTAACAAAATTCAGTAGGGCATATGCGCAGTGTAAGTAACTGGGGGAATTTTAATTGTCACTCTTAAAACTGGAATTCCCTTCAACTATTAACTTTGCTGAATCGGTTTTTGAAATATTGATACATATATTAGTAGAGTTTTAGTTCCATAAGAACGCAGTCTGCTGGAAACATAGATTTGTATTTGCAATAGCTCGGCAAATGAGCAACGAGGCGAATGGGATATGCGAAATAGCGAAAAAATTCGTTTGGAAAATATGTTCGAAATCGCGTTACACTGTTACAAGAGAACAGTTCTTTCAGCGTAAATCAGCTTTGTGAATAAGACAGGTGTTTTGATCTAAGATGAATTCATACCAGGACAAATACAGAAATATGTGTAGATTTAAGTAAATACGCTTAAATACAATTAAATTGCATCAGATCATAAATATGGTATGTCTAATGTAAGTTCTGTGTAAGTAGACTTTCCGAAGTTTCACATGAAAGTAATTCAAGCCAAAACTATCATATTGAGCTACACAAAACCAAAATTATGTGTCAAAAATTCGGTAATGACTTAACACACCGAGTTCAGTGAAATTTGGTGCCATAAATTGGGCCCCCTTAAACTCAGACAGAAATGTTGGCATGGCGGAACTAATGAATGATTTTCAAAATACGGAGATGTTGACCGGACGGCGAAAAACATCGCTCCCTTGGCAAGTAACACATTTCCTTCTTCGGATACAGTTACGAGATCTGAGCAATTGAACAAGACCTTAGGGTTCCAGAAAAGCTGGGCACTTCCATCGATAGAACGTAGAGGAATGTGAGTTAATAGGTCACAAATTGGTGTAAAACAGCTGTAATGGACATAATGGGTTTTCTATATATATCACTAGATAGCAGCACTGTCCAGCTTTATGACAGTCTAGTAGCAGATGCGCATGCGCATGTTCAGAAGCTGGTATCGGTAGTCAAATTGGTGACCATGATTGAGGAGTATACTACCGAAGATCGACGTTCTCTTGTGCGTATTTTATGGGCAAAAGGACACAATGCAGAGTATATTCACAAAGAAATGTTTCTTATTTATGGTGGAAAGAATTTCTCGCATAAAGCGGTTCACAATTAAGTGGCAAATATTTCACTGATAAAGAAGAGGTTGAAACGGATGTGCGAAAGTTGTTAAGACAATCATCGAAATACTTCTAAGCTTTCAACGCACTGGTGAAGCAATGGGACAAGTGTACAAGAGAAGGATATATCAAGAAATGAGTGTTTTACAGGTTCGAATTTCACATGTTTTACGTTTTATATCCATTTGTGACCTATTTACTGACTCTCCTTCCTAGTTTCTCATGGAGGATCAGGCCCACATTCTATTGAGATATCGATGTATTTAGAGTTAAATTGACATACAGACAAAACAAAATTTTATACCTACCCAAGGCTAAAGTTAGTATGATAACTGTGAGTGTTCTGATCTTGAGGCTCAGGTTCGTGGGGTACCCGTAACGAATTTGGCTATTTTCTGTCCTCTGCCACAGCAGTGCCAGTTCAGGCCATTTTGTACCAAGATTCAGGAATAATGCACAGCAGGTAAGTCCAGTTCCATAGAACATTAGCGCTCCTGTGAAAAGATACATCGAATTCAGCCAAAATTTTCGTCTTGAAGAATAAAGTAAAATACATTCAGATTAGGTTAATGTTCCATATTTCAGACAGGCCCTAAACCATAGTTACGATATGTTCTAGTTACGCTGTAGCAAATTAAGTACCTGGACACAGTCGTTCTGTTGATCTTGAAATTCGTCGCTTTTGAGGAACCCAAAAATTTAGCACTTCCCTCACAAGAGTCCGCCAGTGAATAACATCCAGAGCTAAAAACGAGCCCCAGAAAGTCGAACCCTTTATCTTTTGAACCCACTTTCATATTTCCAGACCTATTGTTCAGCAGTTTTAATACAAGACATTTCTGCCGTTACAATTATCTTGATCTTGAAATGGGGGGAAACAAATTTAGTGCAATGAAGTTTAATCTAAGCATTCAAATTGTAAAGGATTTGATCAAAGCATTGCCAGGCAGCAGCTCTGTAAACACGCTCCAACACGTAACAATAGATGAGGCTGTGTTTTCCATGTCGTCCGCGCCAGGCCCAGTAAATTAACGGACCAATGAACTCGCAGTCTGACACGTGACACGTGTTTTCTTTGTGGTCTGCGCCATGAAACAATAGATGTGATGTGTTTTCTGTTCTTGGTCCGTGCCGAGATGATATGAGAGAATGGGAATTGACTTGACTTAGGTTCCGAAGTTCCAAGGGAACAGCAGCGTGGCCAGAAGAAAAATTAGAAGACTTAGTGTGTGACGTCACATCGATATTGGGAGTGTGTAAATTAGAAAGACAACACAATTGGTTGTTCCGTGAGTACACCCTTTTCCTTTCCTCCTCTCGCTCGGACTTTGGAGCACAGGGCTGATTTCTCAGTTTCATGATCATTTTACAGACGGTAGGATTCCTTGGACGGGTGATCAGCTCGTCGCAAGCTCTCTATCTAAACACAGAACAACACAAACACAGAGTAAACGAATACAAACACCAAACATCTATGCCTATGTGGCATTGGAACCCATGATCCCAGCTTCCGAGCGAGCGAAGACAGTGCTTTAGACCGCTCGGCTACCGTGACTTGAGAGTATACGCTTTAATGTTTTTTAATCCCATCACCAGAATCGAAGTGACGACTTAGTATTTCTGTAACTCTGAAGTCAACTGAATGACAACGGTCTGAATGACTGGAAGCATGATGTCGAATTGGGCTGTACTGGCTGGAATATCGATTTTTATTTCACTGAACCCAGATGTGTTTTTGCGGAAAGGGAAACTGAACAAAACAAGTTTCACTCCTTCACTTCTTTACTGTTGTTGTATAACTCTTTGATTTCGTCTAGAAGAAATATAATCTCGACAGAGGATAACGGACTTGGTTTAGTATCAGATCTCTTGATTTGCAGGAAAGCAATATCTTTCCTGACTACTAAGATGTAACTTCATTCCAGTTGTCTCCAAATCATTCCTTGAAAAATATTAGATCATGATGTTTTAAGCCGTGCCAAAAGGAATTACTTGGGTGACGACCTACATGCAAAACAAGGGTTAATAAAGTAAGCAGTTTCTTCTGAAATATCTCTAAACCCCTCCCTCCAAAATTACTCTGTGTCACTATTCGAAAAACGCAATAACATTTTTTTTTCACGAAGTACGATCACAGAATTGTTTGACTGAAATTGTCTCTTTCAGGAAGATGGCTGTAGAAGTGTTCTCCGGAACGCCGATTTTCACCCATAATGCCACAACCCAGAAGCGCCGAATCTAACCAATCCTTACCGTAAAATCTGAAACCTTATATGCCCTGTGATCTCCATTAGTCAATTCATAATACACACTTATAATGATATCGGATTACACAAGCCCTGCTCGTTACCTTATGTCTTCACTCAGTGTATTCACATGTCATGTTCCTTAAGATAACTTACCGGAAGCTGGGAAGGTGAACCCGACAACGAGAAACCACGTGAAGGAGAACCCCAGGGAAACAAGCAGTGCCAATATCACGATTGAAGTGTAGAACACACGAACACTTCTCCACGTGAATCTATTGAAACAAGCCATAACATGGGCATATGAGATTATTCAGTGGTTTATTATCTAATTTTCGGTAATGTACGTTTCAGCATTCTGCAATATATTGTTAAAGTAACTAATTTTACAAAATTAATTATGTCGGAAACTGTACAATATAGGAAAACCAATAGCAGTATGAACAATCGTCCAGCGCTCTCGGGTTCAGGGCTGCACAAGTTCCTACACAAATAATGCTTAACAACGTAAGAGATACAGAATTACTGGGTTTTTGGTCTTTTCCCATCGTCCATAATTCTAGGTAATAGAGGACACTAGGTAATAGATGACACTACGTTTAGGAAACTGGATCTGTTTCCGTCTTCAGGTGAGAGGGGAAGACACCTACTTAATTGAGCTCCTTAGAAAGAACTAATCTCAATCATTTCTTTCTAAGGGGTCCAACTGAGTAGGTGTCTTCCTTTCTCACCTGAAGTCGGAAAGAGATCCAGTTTCGGAAACGTCGTGTCCTCTATTACCTAGAATTCCGGACAATGGAAAAAGTCCAAAAACCCAGTAATTCTATGTGTCATCATCAGAACCCTTTAGAATCTAAACGTAAGAGATATAAATTACTTTGAAGATCAGTGAAACGAAATAAAACGGCCTAAAGATATCTCTCTAATCTGGGTCACCTCTTTATCCTTCCTCTCCTCTTTCCATCCTTCATCTTCCTTACTTCAAAGCCGGCTTCGTAATTATGGTGTTTGGCAGTTGTGCTGATTTTAATTATTATGGCATAACTGTGACCATTTTTGATGTCGAGGTGGCTGACATAGCAGTGGTTATGTTGTTTGTAGTGACAGTAATGCAGGTTATGTTAGTAATTATGGTTACGGAGGTGGTAATAATAATAATTCAATTCAATTCTTTAATATTTATATCCTGAGTCAACAGCCGCAAGGCCAATTACTGACACAGCACAATGTAGATGAAAGTAGTTACATACTGGGCAAACACAACATAAAGTCAAGACTAATTAAAGGTAAACATTGAAGGAAAAACACATTAATGCATATAAGGAAAGAAACAAACGAATAATAATAATTTCATTATCACAAATCTAGGGGCACGCGATAGCGTGGTTGGTTGAGGCACTATGCGACAAGCCGGAAGGTCGCCGGTTCAAGTCCCGATGAGAACATTGGATTTTTTTCAATTGACCTAATTCTTCCGGCCGCACTATGTCCCTGGGGTCTACTTAGCCTCTAACAGAAATGAGTACCAGGAATATTCTTGGGGGTAAAGGGCGGCTGGCGCGTAAGGCTGACAATCTTGCCACCTTCTATGAGCCGATTGTCTAGAAAATGTGGGAACCTCAATATCTCACAACCCTATGGGCCTCCACGGCCTGTTAAAGGATACATTTACTTTCTTTTTACTTTTTCTACATTAATACAAATCTAAGTTGCTATTGATAATTGAGAAACGTAAACTATAGATATTTAGAAATAATAATAATACTAATAGTTAATTTTAATTCTAATTTATGTACGTGAAAATAATATTAGTAACAATTATACCATATTGTAAAAATCGATTGATGAGAACGTTCCTGGCTCCGAATGCGGCAACATCCTTGCAAACAACATTAGCAGCTGCTGCACATCTAGCAGAGGAACAATTCTTACATCAGGAGCAGACTTTGACAATGCAAAGTCTCTCTTATACTGAGCAGGAAATCGGAGACCAACAATTTCCAAAACAGAATGGCAGAATTTCAAACGAAAGTAAACTTGAAGAAAGCAGTCTTCTGGGATTTGGCACCGTGTNGTCTGCTTTTACCGGTTCTCACGGTCTCTTCGCTTGCAGATTTCTTAAATTTTTTCTTCTACCCTGAAGATGGAGGCGATACGTTCCTCCGAAACGTCGGTTAACACCACATATACACGGTGCCAAATCCCAGAAGACTGCTTTCTTCATAGCCACCGCCGTGAAAGCCTCGAATCTTACACGAAAGTAAACTTGAGTAAGAAAGATAGCTTTGAGGCAATGCCTCCTAATACGTAGAGTATGCAATTTTAACTCCTTTAGAGTTAATAATAATAATAACAATAGAAATTAGAAGCTATAACCTGAGTTCCTCAGCCCGCCGTCCAGTAATTCCCTGGACAGGACACAAAGCAAACGCCTGGGCGACCAGCAACACCCAACACATAGATCTGTGCATGGAGTTGACGTCATCGTCGCAACAGCCAAACTTCCGAGCGCTCATCCCGAAGTCAGTGTCCAGGTGTCTCACTGCCAACCTCCGTGACGTCAGCATGGGAGCCACAGGAGCCACACTGCCGTCTCGCGAGATTGTTAGTCGCGGTCCGTTCCCGACAATGCGACTGAGACCTGTGGAAATGCAAACTACCTGAGGTGGAAGTCTGGCAGGGACCTACTCCTGCCTATTACGTATATTTCATCATCCAAATTCTATGCACCCCGGCAATAATGCAACAGTGATATTTATAATCAATAAAATAAACGATACCTAAAACATGTTCTTCACTAAAAGTGTAGTTTCGATAGTTTAAAATATTATTAAATGTTATTAAATATCATTAAGACACTGCATGCATGTCGTATACACTAAAAGTGACTATTAAATACTTTAGAATGTTCTTAATTTATATCATATGTTCTAATTTCGGCCGCACAAGGGCCCTCATCAGGCAGAGTTTGATTGGTGAGTAGACCACTGTACTGTCCGCTTGTCTTCCGTGCTCTCCGGCACGTCGTTGTCTTTTTTGTTGTTGTATCACATATCAAGAACTCCATCATTGTATTCTTTTTGTGGCTATCGCAGTTTCATATGTTGTTTTGTCCTGTATGTGTGCCTTTGGTGCGGTCTTCTCGTATACGTGTATATTTAAATATCACTGTTGCATTATTTACTGTGTACATAGAAATGAATACCACTCTTGCTTAGTTCGATTAGCACCAGTCAGTCTCACATCAGTTACGTATGCATAATATTGCCCTCTGCGGCCAGCTGGATAGCATCTGGCGTATCGTACGGGACGGTTGGAATATCAGCCCGAAGACCTGCTTTCTTGCGATTTGCCTCGGTCCCACCAGAAAAATATAGGAATTGTTCCTCAAATTATGTCACTGTCTCTTCTTTCAAATTTTCTAAATTCATTATTTAATAATTTTCCTATTATCTGACATAATATCGTTAAATGAACTACAAACAATTACAGAAATCAGTATCCACAATAACAAATTTTGTCACATAATATCGTGCACTTGAAATTACTCAGTCCGAACTGTTTCTGATCTACAGCCCTTTGTTAGGTCTTGGCTTCATCTTCAATTTCGTAATCTTTTTTACACAGCCGGTAGAAACCCTTGGACGAGTGATCAGCCCATCACAAGGCCTCTGCATACAGACAGGTAAACACAAACACAGAATAAACGCACTCACAGACTTCCATTCCTTGAGTGGGATTCGAATACATGATTCCAGCTTTCGAGCGAATGAAGACCGTTCTTACTTCAGACCGCACTGCCACCGTGATCGCTCCATCTTTCGTACGCACGTCTGTTTTCATGAACATTCTGCTTCCAAACATTTCGATCGAAATAAAAATGCAGCTAAACAACTGAATCAAGAAGTGTACCACATAAAATTTCTAGTACATACATGTAAACCGATTGTGTACGACTTAGTTTCTTTCTTTTGCAGTATATGTCACAATGTATTCATTATTCTCAAACAACCAGAGAATTGTTTGTTACGGACCTATATCCTAATATTGTTCGAAGTTCTGAGGTCACTGAGAATGGGAAGAGGCACTCATCATGGAGTAGGCTAACGTTTCCTTGCAAGAAAGTTCTGCAATCTGCGTGTGGAATTACCAGTTTTACTAAGCATCCCCGTATTACAGAGCTTGACACACTTACATTCCTTCAAAATAAATTCCATTCCTGGATTTCTTAAAATGTCGACTTATTGAATTAGCACAACATGTATATCAAATTCACAGTCACTCCATAAACATACACGTCAAGAGCTTGTGCATTTCAACACCAACATGTATTTAACAACACACATTTCTTGAAACGAGTCCTGTTTAAAATTCTGTGTGTCAAAGAAGGGTTAAAATACTGTATCAGCTTTACACAACTGCAAAATTAGAAGAAATAAAACCAAGGAAAAGTGTGAATAGAAAACCATCTTCAAGACGCGTCTCTTCACACAGCATAGTCACATGACTCAGGCGGGTTAACGAATGGGCGTAGACTACGGTGTGCAACGCGGAAAACAAATGACAGCGTTAATGCGTATGAAGCTTAGTGCGCGTAGCAACGCTACCTTCTACGTTCACACCACTGAAATGAACAACATAATTGAATATCTGAATATCAAATGTCTTATGCGTGACGCTAATAAGAGTATACCACAAATATGAAACGCGTTCTGTAAATAGAACAGCTATTGAAAACAGCAATATATCGAACAGGCCTCATGTTACGCAGTTCAACCTATCTTAGAGTGAAACATGGTGTGATTTCGGCTCTGCAAGCCAAGGGTACGAGGGTTGGTTAAGGATGTGGTTCTGGGAACATTAATCCGGAAATTTTGGGGGAGGCACTCTTCACGAAAACCTCTACCGCATGTCTCTCAGGATAATGAGCGAATTTATTCAATTCTACAGTTATAAGTTTACTTTCTACAGCCTATTTATTTAATTATGCTAAATGATCAGAACTGGCACAATCGCTTTAAAACGGATGTGCAGAGACGTAAATTATTTTTAATAATAAAAATTATCGTCAGTGTTTCAGATAGAAGTGTATCGCTGTCTCACTCACATTTGCGTGACGTCATCACACACCTAGCATGGCCGACAGAGTACGACAACAGGAAAAACAGACATAAATCTATTGCGGCTCTGGGCCAGAAAATTATATGCTACTCAAAACGATCACGGAAACACCTCATAAAATAATTTGATAGAAGATTGGACAATCATAAAGAGAAACTGCGACCAGATCAATCATTCAAATCAATCTTGCATTTAAAGTCCTTTCATCTGGCCAGGTTTCTGAATTTCTCCACCACTTGTCTCTTTCCTAGATGATTACCACGGGGATTTGCAAAGCTAAAACAGCATATCTCTATCAGTGTTCCGTTGTTTGACAAAATTTCAGTGCATAAAGCGATGATCATTGGACGCCACGGCGGCAATTTATAAAAAATGCATGTGACGTTACTAAGCCTTATACCTGTACCTCCGGGTACGGATTGCTTCTCATGTTGCTACATGACGAATGAGATGAGAAGACGAATTCATGTGCGCATTCAGTAAACAAGAATCTTAAAGGAGATGATCGCGGGCTGTTTCCTAACAAATGCCAGCATCCGCCTGGGCAGTTTGAAACTGGAGTAGCAGGAAACCCGGGCAGGACTACAGCCCTAAACCGCGTAATAACATTATAGACTTTTATCATGACGCCAGCTGGCTCGTTGTATGATTTGAAGTGATCCCGTTACTTATTTATTTACTTCATTTGCTGGAGGTCTTGCCATAAATCAGGCGGTTAGCCGCCGGCTTCCCACCCAGGCGGCCAGGCTTCGAGCCCAGTTCAAGTCATGTGGGATTTATGGTGGATAAATAGGCAACGAGGATGATTTTCTCCGAGTAATTCGGTTTCCCCTACGAATTCTCATTCCACCGACTGCTACGTACTCATCATCTGTTATCCGGGGCTGGCTCCGTTAGTGGCCGATTTACCAAGTAGACACAGTGTCACCCCACCCCAAGAAACTAATATTAGTTCGGACTTTTTCCATCGTCCGGTATTCCAGAAAATAGAAAACATAACGTTTTTCCATTGATTGAGATTAGTTTTTTTAAGATGCCCTACTGAATAGGTGTCTTCCCACTTCACCTAACGACGGGAAGAAAACCAGTTTCCGAAACGTCATGTTTTCTGTTTTCTAGAAAAAACGGACGATGGAAAATGTCTCAAAACTCAGTAATTCTGTGTGTTATACACCATCGTCAGAGCCCTCTGGTCTCTAAATCATGTTTGTTTGCGGACTAGAAGGGAGTTGCACCAACTTCTGGGAAAGTGAGAATGTAAGTAATCCTGACCCGAGACATATTACCAATTGGGAAATAGATGTTTCTGCCCTCCGAAATACTATTCTGGCATTCACCTTCACATTGTAACTTAGACTGTATAAATTCAAGGCAGATGCTTTCCAAATGGGCACTAGATACTGTTCTATATAAGGCAGCGCTTCTGCTCAGTCTCCGTTCCTGCCGCACAGAGATATGCTAACTTCACGCAAAGCGCACACAACAGCGGCAAAATATTCGAAATATTGAAGATGTTACTTTCATATTACAGAGTATGAGTTATAAAGAAAATGTTTATCTAAGGCCAAAATGATATAACGTACAAGGAAATAAAGCTAATATAATATGAAATGCTGGTACGAATATATTTAGAAATGAATTACGGAAGAAAATTTTTCAAACAAACTGATATGCAGACATATAGGGAAAAGAAGTTATATACGCATTGAAAACAAATGTATATCAAGCTTTAATACAGGAAAGTTGTCTCTTTTTTTTTCATTAGCACTACAGCCCCAGTGGATCTAGGCCTACCTCCATGAAACTTCGGGTGGAACGTTGTCTTAGAAGCTGCAAATTTCCGTTAATTAGCTGGAATATACAAAATAAGACCAGAATTGTAGCCTGTACGTATTTCTATAGCTGAAAATATTGCCGCATTAACTTTCTTTTTTTTCCAGTTAATACAGATATACTGCTATGTACGAGTAATTATCACTTGATTATCATTATATATTTTGATAGAGTTAATTTTTCTTGTATAATATTTACATTGCATAATGGTATACATTACCTCTTAGGTGTATCTAGTTACACATATATATTTACATTGCAATTTACATCTAAGGATAATATAAATAGAATATAAAAAAATTGAACACCATAAAGAACCTGGAATGTAATTTATTTCTGGTGACGATGATGAACTGTGATATCCCAACCAACTCTATGAAGCAGTGTAAACCTTGGAAAACTGATATTCGCTCAATTTTTGTAGAATATATCTCATTAAATGGGGAAGGACGTGGTAATACTATCCTAATGCTTGCCATAAAGAATCGATACGAACAACTTGAACACAGAATTTGTTCTTATCTGAACAGCATCCACAGTTTCTAATTGACCAGGTCTAGGAGGAAAGTAGTCAATTAAACAAATGTCTCGCTTATGGGCTAAGTGGGAATTTCATATACAATTTACGAAATTTGACCAGTGCAGAAATCTGGGCATAGGTAGGATGGCTGCTTGTATCTGATAAAACTGACTCCAATTGGGTTTAACTTGTGGGCTCTTGTGAAAAAGGTATGAAATATGGGTCCCGTGGAAGATGGGGATTTCTTGGCAAAGATGAGAGAATATCTGCTTCTCAAATAGAAGCAAAGATGAGGTACGAATCAGACAAATATCAGCGAAGTAGATCCTGTTAGCAGCGACGAAGGGAACAATTGGGAAGA